CAACGTACACCGAGTATTACTTGGGTAATATTAACATGGCAAAGTAACACAAAGTAAATCCAAAACAACGTTATGACTTATAAAGGTAAAATAAGAGTTTCCAGCGTATAGCCACGATCACAGAATATTTAGAATACAATCTGAACACAGCAAGATACATTGAATGTTTCCAAGACAACCTTAACACAGCAAGATACACTGAATGTTTCCAAGACAACCTTAACACAGCAAGGTACACGGAATGTTTCCAAGACAACCTTAACATATCAAGATACATTGAATGTTTCCAAGACAACCTTAACATAGCAAGATACATTAAATGTTTCCAAGACAACCTTAACATACCAAGATACACGGAATGTTTCCAAGACAACCTTAACACAGCAAGATACACGGAATGTTTCCAAGACAACCTTAACATAGCAAGATACACGGAATGTTTCCAAGACAACCTTAACATAGCAAGATACACGGAATGTTTCCAAGACAACCTTAACATAGCAAGATACACTGAATGTTTCCAAGACAACCTTAACACAGCAAGGTACATTAAATGTTTCCAAGACAACCTTAACATATCAAGATACATTGAATGTTTCCAAGACAACCTTAACATAGCAAGATACATTAAATGTTTCCAAGACAACCTTAACATAGCAAGATACACTGAATGTTTCCAAGACAACCTTAACACAGCAAGGTACACGGAATGTTTCCAAGACAACCTTAACAGGTTGTCTTGGAAACATTCAGTGTATCTTGCTATGTTAAGGTTGTCTTGGAAACATTCCGTGTATCTTGCTATGTTAAGGTTGTCTTGGAAACATTCAGTGTATCTTGCTATGTTAAGGTTGTCTTGGAAACATTCCGTGTATCTTGCTGTGTTAAGGTTGTCTTGGAAACATTCCGTGTATCTTGCTATGTTAAGGTTGTCTTGGAAACATTTAATGTATCTTGCTATATTAAGGTTGTCTTGGAAACATTCAATGTATCTTGATATGTTAAGGTTGTCTTGGAAACATTCAATGTATCTTGATATTGCTGTGTTAAGGTTGTCTTGGAAACATTCCGTGTACCTTGCTGTGTTAAGGTTGATACACGATTAATAAATAGCAAATAAACTTAGTATTTCGAGAATTGTTTAATGTCGAAGTCTAATGTCAAGTGTGTGAGGTCTAGTGTATTCACTATGTGAATACAGAGCTCGTTCACACCAATAATATGTAAGATACATGATTATACGACGTAAAATTTTCTTACTCACTGAGCATGCGCATGTTATCTAACTGAATACTTGACCAGTGCACTTAATCAACCAGTTGCGTTCCTTAACAAACACACAGTATTAGAGCTACATTAGTTGTGTATTTTGTTCCTTAGATTCTGTGGAACCAACTTTGTTCACTGTCCAATCATGTTGCAGAGTACATCTACAGGTATCTTGATGACAGGTTGGAGTTTTGTTAACTTACTTTCTATTGGTTGTTGTTGTTGTTTGTTGAGTATCGCGCAAAGCTACGAACACGAGATGTCTCTAATTTTAAAGTGGTAGACTAGAGACAGAAGGCAGATGGTCAACACCACCAACCGCCAACTCAAATCGAATAATGGGATTTGATCGCCTCTTTTATAATGCAGCCACTGCCCCAAAATGTGGAGCGTGCTTTTTATTTTTTGTGGTAACGTGGCGCGAACCAAGGATTCACTTTCCGGCACTCTCACCACTAGGTCACGCTCGTGCTAATCTCGGCACTTCTCTGATAGAACTGAGTTCAAGTAAAGATTGTTTCTGTCGAGTTTATTTATTTTCAGTAAATTGCCAAAACAAAAGTGCCGTTAGGGGGTTAGTTTGTTTGTTTGTATTTAAGCACAAAGCTACACAATGTGCTATCTGGGCTCTGCCCGCTACGGGTGTCGAAACCTGGTTTCTAGCATTGTAAGTCCGCAGACGTACCACTGTGCAACTGTTGATAGAGCTAGGACGTTTGCACTGTTATGCAGAGCACGAGTTTTTGCCCTAAAAACAAACAAACAACGATTTATTTTTAGAAACATCAACTCCAAAATGTATAATAATACCATAGGGAATCCTCAATAGCCGCGGCACTTGAAATTCTTTTAAGCAGGATTAGAGTAAATTAATCTATGATACCTTGGGCGTGGTCAAATACATTAATGTGAGTCCAACACTGTAATTAAATCTCAAATCCGTCAAGAGATGACGGAGCTATGAGCTAAAAGTTTGTACTTGAAAAAAAAAATCAAAA